GATGTTGAATTAGTGATAATAGTGCCCCATATGGAGAACTTGCTGTGCGCCCGGAACTGGGTATTCCATTCAGGGATGTTTGCCATCCTTGTCTTGCTTATAACTCTCACAACGACATAACGAAATTGAAATACTTTGATTTGATGGTTGGGGAAACTGATGTTCAGAAAGGTTATGTGACTTGCCCAAGGTCATACAGCTAAGGGCAGTGGTGGGATTTGAACCTGTCTGACTCCGAAGCTCATGGTATTAATGATTCTGAGCCCTTTCCCTCTGTTCCATGTGCGGGAGAGAAGAGAGGGGTCCTGTAGGGCTGAGGCTGATCCCTGGAAAGTCGATGGATCGATATGTGCCCATATCCAACACACACGCTCAAGTGCACCTTCCAGTCCCGGTCACGTGGAGATCTAACTGGAAGTTTAGCAAGGCCTCCCGGAATTCCATTTTCCCTATGAGCACCAGAAATAGGACTACGTGTTCAACCAAGACCGTTATCACTTCACTTGCTCTGATGCCTTGAAAACTTACCCCAGGAGGAAATGTGGTGCAGCCTGGGAATGCACTAACTTCTCTGGGGCAGGCGGGACCTGCTGATCTAAAGTTACAGACTCTGCCCCGTGGCAAGTGCATGATTCTGGAGGGGATCGGGAGCCAGAAGAAGGTCCAGTTTAGAGAATAGCAGGACAGTCACCATCAGCGCAAAATAGAAGCAGGGAGAGAGACTGATCACTACGGTCCTCAGAGGGCACGTGGTTCTTCTGTCTTGGATACGACCTTTAGAGACAGGCACATGGAGCATTCATATTCTGTGCCCATTTAGTGCCTGGGGACACCGAGGTAAGCAGAGATGGTGTGACTGAAGTTTCTTCTCAATTCATGGTTTATTCCATTGAAGCTTGCCATTCTCTTGAACCCCTCAGAGCGATCACAGCCCCTTTTAAATTGGCATTGACATGATGGTCTTGGCTCCGTCTGGAACATGTAATATAGTCACTCTCAATGGCTCTGTGTCTGGGGGGCCGAATTCGAAGTGAAGCATGAGTGAGGGAGAGAACAGAGGTTTTTGTACTTCAGTTTTGTGCTTAGGGCACAAGATCCCATAGCTGAGGCCAATATGGACACATCAATCAGTCTACTAGTATGTTCTGACTCATGGACATTTTTAAAAATTCAGGTCGCGTGTTCCTTCATTCCATCAATAACTGTCCATTAAGTCCCTCCTTGTGCCAGGCCCTGAGTTAGAAGCTGCGGACCTCAAAACCAATCGGTGTCTGCATAAAATCCCTCCTAGACGGGGGAATCCTAATCTAATCAGCGAAACACATAGCTCGTGGAGGTATAATGTTATTAAGCAAATAGAGATTAGATATTTAAATCGAATTAAGGATTTATGAATGAAATGTTACCATGTCTGGGAGTTCCTTCACTGTGATACAGAAGTGGGTGGCAATATAAACGAAACAAGATTGGCCATGAGTTAGTAATTACTGCAGCTAGATAATGGGAACATGGAGATTCATTATACTGTTTCACTTTTGTAGGAGTTTAAAATTTTTCATCATGAAAGAGAAGACAAAGATGCACTGAGGGAGCACAGAGCTTCCTCCTTCAGGCAGGTTACATATGGACATATATCCCTGGTCACTTCCATCCAGCCTTTCCCTCCTGGCCAACAGACTGGATGAACTCGTAGGGTAAATCTCAGCTCCTTACGAGGACCTGCAAAGCTTTGCATCATCCAACCCCTGCCTACATGGGGTGCTTTCCCTTCCCTTCACTCCCCCAGCCCCTCACCCACTCAACTTGGGATTTCCCATCCCCGCTCAAATGCCACCTCCTCAGGGAAGCCCTCTGTGATTTCTTTCCCCTGTCTGCTCTCTTAGACCCATTGTTTTCTTTCTTCCACCCAGTTTGTATGATGTATTTTTGTGTGGCTTTTGGACTCATATCTGTCTTCCCTATTAGCATAAAAATTCCATGCAGAGAAAAAGTTCATTGCATGTTCTCCAGCCTCCTCGGTGCCTAATTCCATGCTTGACACCTAGTGGCCACTCCATAAATACTTAGGAAGCGAATGAATCTCTCTTAATTCTGTCTACAAGCGCTGGACTGACTCAGTTAGAGCCCCTTGTGAAAATGCACAGAGGAGGGGAAAGTCTCTTTTCCCCATGTGGTATATAGAATCCTGGAGCGGGGATTTGGGGACTTGGGGATTTGGCTCTGTTTTTCCACCCACCACTTGCTTCCACCCTCCTCGGCCGACCCACTGGGTGCTTACTTAGACATGGGAAGGGAGAGCATAACTTAGGAGAGACTTGGGGAGTTACTACACTCCAGGAACACATACACCTTTGCTGCCTCTCTCCTGGGAGTCAGTCTTGGACGGGAACCTTCGCCTGACTTCACGGTGTAGGGTACAGTGATGTGGCCAATGACATCACCAAAGATAGTGCTGGCTAAATGGTCTTTGCCTTAATTTATGTTTCCGGGGGCTTCCCGGGAGCTGTCTCTCCAGGGGTGGAAGAGTCTTTGAGCTATAACGGTTGCAAAATCTGGATGACTTAATAGAAGCACCTTTGGGTTCACACAGCCCTGTGGTATGGCTCTGGTTCCATGGCTTCCCAGCTGCATTTGGACAGTTTATATGTCTCTGTGCTTCCATTCTCTGAACTGCAAAGTTGGAAGACTAATCCTTACCCTTGGGATTTGTGGGCATCAAAGTCATTGGTGATATATACATTTCCTGATGACACAGGAGTGCTCAAAAATGACACTGTTATAATGAGAGCATCAAAGAGCTGTGGTGGACAGGTGCAGAGTTCTATATTACTAGGGAATTATTATTACAACAATAATAAAATAATGGCAGCTACCATGTATGTTACACGCTAAGTTCTGTGCTCAATGCTTCCTAAACATTTTGCCTCATCGGAAGCTCACTACAGTCCTTAAGGGCATGTCCTGTTGCTATCTGCATTTTGGAGAGAGAGAACATAAAACTCAGAGAGGTTAAGTCACTTTCCCGAGGCCACTCAGCTAAACGAGTGAAGCCGGCATCGGCACTTAGTTCTACGTGACTCCAAAAGCCATTCTCATACCAACTGAACTACCCAGCCTCTCTCGAAGGTTTGAGTTTTCCGAGAGAAGTGGAAGGAAAAGGAACTGAGGTAACGTCCCAAAAGGAAAAGCTTGGCTATCTCTTTTTTTCTAACTTGCTTATTTATTATTATTAGTTTAGTCTTTGTCCCGCAGCCGACTGATGGTTCCAAGAAGGCAGGAACCATTCAGTTTTATCCATCATCGCTCCCGGGCTGGTACCAGCACATAGTTGGTGTTTAATAAATCCGCACTGAGTGAATGAGCAATTTGACGGGCTCAGCATTCTCCCCAGCCTGTGTTACACATCACGACATTGGTAGATGAGCATGTTTATTTGACCAAACTCTTCTACGGCCCTTCCTATCTTAAAAAGGAAGGAATCGGTGATGCTGGGCAGTTCTGTAATTGGCCACATGGAATGTTTCACTATAAACAGCAAACGTTTTCCAAGACGGTCTGAGAGCGCACTGTCTGCCTTTTCTGCTGCCACCCCATCACCCCTTTGGGTGTCCAGCGTGTCTGAATTCTCTTTACGGGCTTGAAATTCATTTCTGGCGACACTCACATTACGGGAGGGGAGGTGAGTGGGTCACATCAACACAGACGAGCCTGAACTCGGCACTTAGCTTTTCAGACGAGGTGCTTCCTTGAGGTTGGTATTACAAATAAGCGCTGACCTGTGGTGTCAAGCAATTGCACAGGGGAGCGGGAGGAAGGAAGAAGCGCGATGCCGGGAGCAGCTTTCTCCCAGGGTGTATATGAATAGTGCCAATAAGCTGTCAAATAAAATTAAGGTTCAAAACATACAGCCTTCAATTTGATTTCGCTAACATGAGGACTGCTGCTCGGAGGGAACAGATCGATTCTATTTTGACAGGTCTTGGTGCACGCTAAGCGCTGAAAGTCTCTGCTCCAAGCCGGATTAATAACAGTTCACCTTAATTTGCAACTTAAATAGAACCATGATCTGAGGTGGAAATGATGCTCCTGATTTCCTCTCCCGCGCGTCCTCCTCGTGTTGACGCTCCTGTCAATCCTCCTGCCTTTTTGCTCTTTCACGTCATCTTCTTCTCTGCACACTCTTTCCCTTAGCATCTTTTGGGTTTTTTTTTTAAGATTTTATTTATTTTTTTGACAGGGAGAGACACAGCAAGAGAGGGAACACAAGCAGGGGGAGTGGGAGAGGGAGAAGCAGGCTCCTTGCTGAGCAGGGAGTCCAATGGGGGGCTCGATCCCAGGACCCTGGGATCATGACCTGAGCTGAAGGCAGATGCTTAACAACTGAGCCACCCAGGCGCCCTCCCTTAGCATCTTTTAAAAATTTCTCCTTCTCCTTGCATCTCTCCTACACTTAGAAAGTATGGAGTCCCTACTATGTGCTGGGCATGGTGCTGTTTGCTGCTCACAGACTGTATTATTTAATTGCCACAACATCCTTGTAAAGTAGGTGGAGTGGTGCTGTTTACAGAGGAGAAAACAGACATTCACAGTGGTTCAGAGCTTGCCCAGGTTTCTGTAGCTAGTAAGTGGCAGAGGTGGGGATCCCAGCCTAGACTTCTCTGATTCTAAAAGTCCATGCTTCCCTCGAGACCTCAGTGGTCCCGAACTCTGGCAGAACATTAGGATCACCTGGGGAGCTCTACCCATCTCAGTGTGTGGGCACCACAGCCATATTAATTAGCAGGGGAGAAGCCAGGGCATGGGGTCCACCCAGTACTTTGCTTTCCCTTTATCCCTATTTTTCTTAGCATATAAAGAGAAGCATATGTTGAGGTAAGTAGCAGAAAAGCCCTCAAGATGGGTAGGGTTCTTGTCTCGGACCTCATATGGGGGAAGGACTTGCCCTTCTAGAAGTCGGCGCTGCAAGAAAACACAGGTCTGCCTTTGTCTTTCTGATGCAGGTGGGAAAGTGGGAGAACCACACCCTGAGCCTGAGGCACGCCGTGTGGCCGAGGTACAAATCCTTTTCAGACTGTGAGCCAGACGACAACCATCTGAGCATCGTCACCCTGGAGGAGGCCCCCTTTGTCATCGTGGAAGACATAGACCCGCTGACCGAGACGTGCGTGAGGAACACCGTGCCATGTCGGAAGTTCGTCAAAATCAAGTAAGTCCAGGGATGCTGTCGCTTGAATACACCCAATCCTTTAAAAATAGCACGTATCATCAACAACGGTATCCAAAATATCCTAATAAAGTGTAATATAAAATAGGCTATTCTAATACTAGATGATAATCTATAATGTTAGATTTTTTAAGACTTAAATAAATAACTGGAATTATGCCAGGTGGTTTACACTTATTTAATTCCAGCAACAGCAATAGGAGGTAAGTGGCTTTGCCCATTTTAGATATTTAAACAGTTCTGGGGAGATTCAGAACCATGCTCAGAGCCGTTCAGCTCATAAATGGACGAGCTAGGACTCAAGATGCTCATCCATCTGACTCAACCGCCATATTCTTAACCCCTGTGCTCAAACAACCCTCCCCCTCGGTCTCACCTTAAAAATATATATATATTTTATTTTTCTGACTGCTCCCTCCTCCAATCCTGCACATCTCCTCCCTTCCATCTTTTTTATATATCCCAGATACAAACTCTTCAAAAACTTTGGAAACGTCTTTCCAGCTGGGGGTCATGGTGCACGCTCCGTATGGCTGTGTGCTGTGATCAGTGTGGACCTGGCCTCCTGGTGGTCTCCTCGCTCACCGACAGCAAGCCAGTGTCACAGCTGTGCCATTTCCTCTTTTATTAACGACCGAAGGAAGAACTGACAGTTTTTGTGAGAGCTCCTGGTGAAGTTTTGTCCCTAACCTATCACCCTTGACGGGAAGCCTAAAGCTTCATGACCAAGTCCAAGGCCCTGATTCTAGTCTTTCTAGTACAAACACAAAGAAAAACATGCCCTCGTAGGGATTTTCACGAAAGGAAGAGGCCTCCCATGAAGTATTTTTGCCAGTATTTTCCAAGCACCTCCATTCATCTGGCTAATTCTGCCGCGTCCTTTAAGTCCCTCCCCAAGTTGGGTTTACCGTCCCTCCTTCCACAGAACTCTGGGTATGTCTCTGTGCCTTAGTCTGTGCAGGCTACTGTGACAAGTCACCGCAGACGGCATGGCTTAAAAAAAGGGACACTTATTTCTCACAGTTCTGAGGGCTGGGAGCCCACCGGCGGGGCGCCTGGTGTGCAGACAGCTGTCTTCTCTTGCTGTCATCCTGTGGTGGAGAGCAGACAGAAAGGAAGCAAGCTCTCCTATCTCGTTCTAAGGGCACTCATCCCACTCATGAGGGCCTTACCCTTTGACCTCATGACCTCCCACAGGACCCACCTCCTAATGCCATCATATTGGGGTTTAAGGTTTCAACACATGACTTTGAAGGAACTCAAACATTCAGTGCATACCCCTCGATCCCTCTATCACCTGCTTTTATGGCTTATAGTTTGTCTTTCCCCCTGGACTGTGAGCCGCCTAAATATTGGAAACGTGGCTTACTAGTCTTTGTATGCCCAGGGACAAGCACGAAACAGGTCCCACCAATGTTGATAATGCTTAAACACATGAGTGAATGGAAACCAGTCCTCCCGCATCCCAAATTCCAACATAAGTCATTATATGAGATGCAAATCCCAAGAGCTCAGTGCTTGGGATAAAGATCATTTTTTAAAAATATGATTGCAAAATGTATTATGAAGGCACATTTGTAGTTTGGAGAAGATTTTTCTTTTTTTTTTTTTTATCAATGAGGAGCCTCATTGGAGTTGAAATTCTGAATAGATTAGTCAATAATTAAATAAACATGAAGCACAGTTCATGTGTGAGGCACAGTGCGGGGCACGCAGGATACATCAGGGAACAGAGAAGACAAAAGATGGGGATCTTGCAATATGGAGTGTACACAGTTAAAAAAAAAATTCAGCCAATAAAAGACCAGGACAGCTCCATGTTATGATAAACCTTGTGAAGGAATATAAATAAGGTGGTGTGAGGCAAGAGTAACTTGAGGTACGTGGGGCTCCTTTAGCTCACAGAGGTGAGTTGTAAGACGATGTAGAAAAGGATGATGAACATGTGAAGAATGGGGGGAGAGCCTTCCAGGTAGAGGGAAGAGCAGGTACAAAGGCCCTGAGGGAGGAAAGAGATTGGCAAGTGTGGGAAACAGAAGGAAACCCAGGGTGGTGCTTGAGAGTGATGAGCTGGGCGGGAGACGGAAGGGGTAAATGTGAGAAAGTTGTCCAAAGAGATTTTGATTTGGGTGGGTGTTCTTTGAGCACCACTTGGGCAGATGAAGAAATCAGGGTGGATGGCACAAAGCGAAGACTCTTACCTCAGTAGAGGCTCCTCCTTTATGACAAGAGTGCCTTCCTTGTTTTGATGGGGCCAATCAAGTAGAGCCTCTGGGACTTCACAGCCAATAATAGGAGCTTTAAATCTTTAAAATCAGAAGGCTCGGAGCTGACAACAGTAGGTCAGCGAGTCCTGAGCTACATTTGTATGGAGAAAATGAACCCCTCCCCCCAATAAATTACTCTCTTTCAAAGAACTGACTTTTTTACTGGAGACTATAAACAGATTAACAGGTTCAAATTCACATTTTTGGTTCTTGTGGGAGGTGGCGGGCTTGTAGCTTCTCTTTTCCCACTTGGCAACATGACAAGTTTACTGCACACCTAGGCGACATTAAAGTCTTTGAAAGCCATAGGCAATCGCTGGGACCCATTCATTCCAATATTAACACAGATCAGATCAATTGCATTTCTTTGAGGCAGGATGATTTGTTCTAAGAAGGATTCTGTTAGGTAACATGGTTATATTTTTCTTGGTGATATTCTCCCAGGGAAAACCCTTTGTCTCTCACTTTTGGTGAATGATGGGGTCTTTAGGACACACATCGGTGTTCTAAAAACAGGAAACAGAAAATGAGCTGAGAAATCAAGCATTCCTTTTCATCTGTTAGTTGAGTGTTAAGGCGTGAAGAGAAAATCGAGGAAAAATGATCTGGCTTGATATGTTAGGAAAAATGGCCACACTGTCGATTAATCCCCCAAACTGTCAGATGGTCGGTGAGAAGAGAGGAAATGTATTTTTAAGCACTTATGTGAGAGGTGCTTTAGATACTTTATTTTATTTAATCTCCCCAACTGTCCTGCAAGGTAAACACCAGCCTTCTCAATTTGCAAGGGAACAAGCTGAGACTCATTAGTGAAGAGACTTGTCTGCATCTTCCTGGTTGTTAGGAGCAGACCCAGGACCTCGCAGCGGCTCTGTCTGACCTCCATGGCTGTGATCCTATCCACTGACCACACTGGGAAACTAGGGAGCTGAAGAACTGGACTCCTTATTGGATCTTTTTCCCCACATTGGCTTTTATGGGTCATCCTTTCTTGTGGTGATAGTGGGGTGTGGAGAAAGATTGCATTGGGCGCCATTTCTCAGATGTCTGTGTAGTCAAGTCACACCCCCCTCCACACATACACAAGGGCTGTGATTGGAACTGATGGAAGTTTCCAATTACAAGCTGGTCTGTGTTCCCATCTTCCCCATGAGAAATTCGTCTGTTGCATTTGCTGCGTGTCTTTTCATCTCATGTCCCCAGGATTTAATTCCATGTCTTACATACAGTAGGTACTCAGTGGTTGCTTGTTGGGTAAAAATGCATTAATGACCTCTGTATCTAGACATATACCTGTATCTAGACATACACCTAGTTTTAGAAGACAAGAGGAGATAATTAACTCATTAACTGGCTGAGGTTCTCAGTGAGGCCAAAGAATACCACCATGTGCCTGTGACCCTGAATCTTAAGTCTGGGGCATTCGTAACTCCTATCCAGACTCTCCCAGGAATCCTGACCAGGGGAAGGAAGGCCCTGTGATAAAAGAAGGGAGGGAGCAGAGAGCAAAGGAGAGGCAGATGGGAAGAGTTGGAGAAGAGGCATCAATGTGTGGCCCATGGTGGCCAGGAAAGAAAAAAGAGAATTGGCTCTTGCCATGTTTTACAATGGGCCACAGATAGATACTGAGAAGGAAATCGTATTTGGACATGCCATTGACTTAATGTACTTAGGACACATTTCTATCATGTTTATGGCATTTTGCAACCTGCTGCCATTACTCGAAGTCACACTGTCAGATCTACCCATGTTCCTGGGCATAGATGGACATCAGTGGTGCTTGATGTGTGTGTATATATCTAATTATATGTGTAGTATATATTCACTGCAGTTAATTTGTGGGGGGAAAAAAAACTAAAAATATGAAAAAGAGAAAAATTTATTTTCACCCTTCAAAAATAGCTACGCTTCATATTTCATTGTTTTTCCATCCAGATATTTCATAAGCCCATCTGTTTTTATATAGCTAGGACTGTTCTATATGGAACACTTTGTAACCTACTTTTTTTTTCCTGTGATATGGAAATGCAAGTATTTTCCTATTGTGATGTTGGATTTCCATAAACATCATTTTAGTGCTTAGATAATGGTCTGGTGTGTGGATGCACCAGCAATGGGATATCCAGAGCACGTATGTCATGACATGCATGACTCAGGTTGTTGAGCTCAATAAATGCCCCATCACAAGGTGGACCAGCAATGTTGCCCAGAGAGGTCTTGACCTTCCTACATGAGTTGTCTAAGTAGCAGCTATTAATTTGGAAGACCCTCTTTCTTTCCTTTTTAAAGACATTTCTGATTTTTATACGTCCTTCGACTATGACTTGGCCAGGTAAATAAAGCAAGGTGGCTGGCAAAAATCAACCTATGTCACCTTGGTAGATGATGATAGCTTTTAAGATGCCAGTACCTTCTATATTTTAATAGGGCTTTTTCTTGATCAAGGACATTGCTATTTCATAGTGTCAACTTTTTATACTTCCTGCTATGTAGGGAGGGAGGGAAAGTGTTATGAAGGAGCCCTCATCTGACAGATGACTCCATCAAGACACATTAAGTTCATGGACTCAGGCACAAGGTGGGCCCCGGGTCTTCCAGTTCTCAGCCACGTTTTCCTCAGGAAGGAAAGTGCCTTTCCTAAAGAAGGCACCCTTCTTTCTCTTTGGTTGCAAACCTCTATCTCCAGTGATAGGAAAAAGCAAAACCCTCCTTCAGCTGAGAATTTCATGTCTTCCATCTCTCTTCCATTTTCTGATAAGCTTTTATAATTTGGCTTAGATCATATGCCTGAACTCTGGTCTAAAGAGGCTTTAGGTGTCATAAACTTAAAAATAAGAGGTAGTAACTCTCATCTGTATAATGGGGAAACAGTTCCTATTAACTAAGAGAAATGCCATGGAATTTATTTCAAGAATTACCATGAAGCATGGTACACGGGTACAAATAATCACTCAATTAAAGTTAACCGTTGTCATGGTTACTGTCACAATTAAGAACACTTTGTCCTTCTGCTGACATTAACTACTGCCTGTCCTTGAAAAAGCCACTCCCTCATGTTGAGCCTCCGTTTCCCACATGGAAAACAGTGGAAGTGTCTTAGGTAACAATTGTGAACAGATCTTCCAGTGCTGATATTCTACGGTCTCGGGGATTTTTTCTACAGCAATTCAACCAATGAGGGCATGAATATTAAGAAATGCTGCAAGGGTTTCTGCATCGATATCCTGAAGAAGCTTTCTCGCACTGTGAAGTTCACCTATGACCTTTACCTGGTGACTAACGGGAAGCATGGCAAGAAAGTCAACAATGTATGGAATGGGATGATTGGCGAAGTAAGTTATCTTCCTCCCTCGGGCTCTCATCCAAGACTCCACACCTGTGGTGCTTGGGGGGATGGTGGGAAGGACAAGTAAAGGCTCTGTGCTCCTTTGCCTTGCATATAGGTGGTCTACCAACGGGCGGTCATGGCGGTCGGCTCACTCACCATCAACGAGGAGCGCTCGGAAGTGGTGGACTTCTCCGTGCCCTTTGTGGAGACGGGGATCAGTGTCATGGTTTCGAGAAGCAATGGCACGGTCTCGCCTTCTGCTTTTCTAGGTATGTGGACGTCAGGGTCACCACTGTTTTCCTAACAGGGAATTAGAGGTATTTGTCTTGTTTCCTCAAAGGATGGAACCAGGTAGGACCTTGGTGAGCTCTATGTAATGACATCAGCACATTCCAAAGCCTGTCCTGTTTGAATGATCTCAATTCCCTCCCCACCCCCCCCAACCCCCAGTTAACATCTGTCATTTATCTCTGACTCGGAACTATCTGCTGAAAACACAATCGCATATTCAGATACTGGCCTTGATTGTATAGAATGGAGATTAGCAGATATAGGTCTCAGAGCCTGGAAAACATTTAAAAAAATAAATATACCTGTCCACAGTTAATTTAAATCAGCCTCTAAGCCTTTATTCAGCAACCTCAATCCCATCCTCCATTCTTCCCTGGCATGACAGCCACTTATTTACTGGATATGAGGGTGAAATGATGATGACCACACGGTGATTCATACCAGCACTCGGATAAACAAAATACAGGTAGCCTGAAGAGCACACACTGATTGAAAATTAATGGAATCATATTTTAAATGTGACTATCCTTCAAGTGGACTGGTTTGTAAGGGAGAAAATTCCTTACTCTCCTTTTAACTATTTCATAAATTTATGTTTTGACATAAAAGCATTTTTTTTTTAGAGCAAGGTAGACTCTACTTTCTATCATCCTGTTTTCTTTAGCACTGTATGTATATGCCTGTCCAGAGAGGGAGAAACTACATGAGACAGAGCCAAGCATTATTTATTTTTTCTTTAAAGGAAAGTATCGGTAGAGTATTTGGTTATCATCAACAGTTTTTGAGAGTGGCTACCTTGAAGATCGTGGGACTCAAATTCCCTTCTCCTTGGCACCCCCGCATCCATGGGCTTGTCCCAGATTTGGGAAGGCTAAGGCAAACACTGACCCCAAAAGAAAACTGCAGAGAAAGGGGACACAGATCAAAGGCAGCCAAATTTCTTACACGTTTCCAGACACACACACAAGAACCTTTGTCTATTAGAGAGCTCGCTCTTGCAGACTAGAGCCATTTTGTGGCCACCGGCTCCCAGCCTGTAGTCTTGTGTCCCCACAATCTTCATTGGTACGTCGTGGTGGCATCCAGTGAAGCTGTCTGTGCTTTATTCTCTTGAGTGAAACGTTGACGAACAGGATTTTGGATACCGCCTCACTCACAGAGATGTATGGATTTGCTATTTCCATTTTTGGTAATCCATTTAAGCTGTTGAAATCCTTACCACTCCCTGAATTTGATGTTGCACTCCCCGCTTCCATTCTTGACAGATACACACTTCATTATGTTCCCTTTGTGTCTTTGATATGGATAATGGACCCATATCTCGATCAGGGAGCCTCACAACACCATGAAAAATGCAGCCGACTGATATAGACAATACATGCAGAATCTTAACAATGACTGGGTGGACCCTCATGTGTGAGCCACTCCTTTTCACGGTTTCCCACTCCCTAGCAGACCTTTCAACAGGGCTCTTTGGCCCTGGAGGTTAAGAAAAGGTTGGAAGAAGTGAGTTCAGGGAAAGAATGGAAAGAGATCTGTTTCTTTCTTTTCTTTTCCTTTTTTTTCTTTGAGAGAGAGAGAGAGAGAGAGAGAGAGAGAATGTGTAGGGGGAGGGGCAGAGGGAAGAGAGACTCCCAAGCAGGCTCCACATCTAGCGTGGAGCCTGATGCGGGGCTCCAGCTCACGACCATGAGATCATGACCTGAGCCGAAATCAAGAGTCGGACGCTCAACTGACTGAGCCACCCGGGTGCCCCAAGAGATCTGTTTCTTTTCACAAGTTGTTGACATATCTGCATAGTGAGCTAGAGAGAACTTTTTTCCCAGTTCAATCAGAGAGGGAAAAAATACCATCAGTTGGCTTGGCTCATAAAAAAAAATGGGTCACTGATATCGAATCTGGCCTCAACCCAATTTCCCCTAGATTTTTATCTTACCTGGATTCATAGAACATTGCCATAAAAAGTCAGGTATTTTTTGCGGAGTTAAGGCCTCCTTTCCCCCCTTACTCTTCCTACTGTATCTTTAAAAATAAAATAAAATAAAATACATTGTAGCCAGAGGAAACTATTTTCAAAGCTGTTTTGACATCAGTAGGCTTAATATTTTTTCTAGTCACTAAATTACATCCCTATTGGATTGTGCACCCCCTTATTTACGGTCATTATCTGCAGGTTTTGAAAGTCATAATGAACCATGCTAAACTACATTTTTCCATTCACTGGCTCAGTCATCTGGAAGAGCCCAAACATTCAAAATCTGATTGCATTGCTCTTCATTATTTCCTATCCTCTCTCCACAAACTCCATTAACTCCCGTTGGAAACACTTGCAGGTAATGCCTCTGAGCTTCTGTGTAAAAATGTAACCAGCAGCTCTTCAAGGACAGAGGTGGCATCTCTTGGATATTTCCATTCAGTTACTTTCAAAGACTTTCCAAGCAGATTGGATTGTTTGATCCAAAGAAATGCTGACCAGAGTCTCCTAGATTGAAGTCCCTAGATTGAAGTCACCTAATTTCTGGAACAGTTTGTGTCCTCACTAGGATGCATCAGCTGCCAAATGAAGCCCACTGCACATTTATAGACTCTGACGTGAGAATGAAGAATTCAGAAAGGATGCCCCTTCATATTTTTTATCATGTTATCCCAACCTGCAGAGAAAAGAAGTTACCAGATTAATAAACGCGCATGTTTTAAACCAGGGTGCCTTTTTCAGGACCCTGAACAGCGCACCACCACCACCCCTGGTTCTGGCTTTAACCATGGAATCAAACAACTATTCCATTTAATTCACTACATGTATAGTGTGCAACACACACCACCAAGCACTTTCAATGTCTATGCTCATTGACTCCTCATGGTGATCCTCCTCTGGTAAGATACACCATGCCATTAACTATACCCAACTTAGAGAATTATTTTACTATTTATTCCTATCTTGAATATTCATTATTTTTAATCCCCTAATTATTCATTTCATTCTCCTTTTTGGAAACACCTTATTACCAAATTGCAATGATTTTAGGGACATAGTATTGTTACCACCCAAGGTAATTTCAACAAAGATATGTTATGGTTGCAATCTCATTGATTTCTTTGAACTCATCTTGTGTTATTCAGAGTGAGTAGGCTATGTTGTTACCTGTTCCTCTTTAACATATCTGCACTGTCGAAGCTGCATTGCAAAGCATTCCTTCTGGTTTCTAAATTATCCAGTGTAGTTAAAGCTTCGGACATATCAGTTTCTGGTTATGTAGTAAGCTCATTAAATTGGAATTTATGATGACCTTTAGCTGTGTTAGGTAGTCACAGACTTTAATGATAAGGTGGCTTGCAACCAGCCTAGTTCTTTATGATTATTACTAGCTCCATCAGAAAAACAATTTAAAAATAATAAAATGTCTACTATTCAAGAGGTGTTATTGGGCTTCTTATATTTTACCCTCAGAAAATGTTTGCTTATGAGGCAAAGGATTATAAGTTTATTGGTATCCAAGGGCAGTTTCTTCCCAGTGATGCATTCAGGTGGAGATAGATTCATTTTTCAAAATTTTAGCCTCTGTTGATTTTCTAGCAAATATGTGTCATATATGGATACAGTGGCTCCATTCAGCTCCCTCAATCAGACTGAATATAAATGCTCTTAACTTTCTGGAGTGTTCTAAGATTTAGAACCTTGTGACTTGGCCTGCCCTGCTGAGATGTCCGTATGAAAATAAGCTGATGTAAACTACTTCGGTGGGCAGGGGGTGGGGAGGTAGGGGAGGGAGTAACCACCTATCCATCTACTACTTCATTGCCTCTACTCTTTAAGCGATGCTTTTTCATTGAATTACCATGTGAATGTAATATTCTCAAATGACTTTTCAAATGCATTTAAGCCCATTACCAACATCAACAAGATTTTAAACTTGTAAAGATCTCATCTATCCAGAGCAGAGGGCAGGGTGGGCAGCGTGGTAGTAGTGGGGGCAGACGATGACCTTCCAATATTGCTGTCAACCCCATGATTTTATGATCCTTTTCTAACAGGTTGTAATGTTACCTTTCCTTCTGGAATTCCCTGCCCATCATCCCTCCAGCATGTAAGGATGAAAATGAAATTAAGAATAAAACCCATGCTGATCTGCAGAAGCCTTATGATTGACTATTTGGGTCTAGTCCCTTGCTTCCTCCAGCCTTGGTCCCCTGGATGATGCAATAATCATATAGGACCAGATGGCCTCTTTATTTGCATTCTTTCTCCCATTTGTTTTTACTATCCTTGACCCGATTTGGAAAATGTCATATGCTCTTCTCTATTTTTATCCTATTATATGCAGCCTTATAAAATACCTCAAGTATTTTTAGAACGAAGGATGGTGTAGACGTATGAATCCACAATGACTAGCTTCTTTTGAATTATCAGATTCATGTCAGGGAGGGTTTCTCAGTTGAGCCTGCAAGTGGACTTCTGGGCTTCCTGTTGGTCCTGGTTGTGAGGATGTGCCAACTGACCGTGTCCCACTCCTCTGGCTTGTTCACCCACAGAACCGTTCAGCGCCTCCGTCTGGGTGATGATGTTTGTGATGCTGCTCATTGTGTCTGCCATCGCTGTTTTTGTCTTCGAGTACTTCAGTCCTGTTGGATACAACAGAAACTTAGCCAAAGGGAAAGGTGAGACCCCTCTCATCACTATGACCCAAAGTTGATGCTGTTTCATTTGCTTTCTACACAGGTTTCCCATTTAGAACGCATCACCCTATACTGTCTCGCTAGTCTGATACGAATGGAGCTGGGTCACCAGTACCATCATTCCACACAGTTGTGAGTTATTTGCCTGAGCTGAAAAAGGGATAAAGCCAAGTGAAACATTTTCATCATTTTATCTTTTTTAAATTTTTTTAAAAAATATTTTATTTATTTATTTGACAGAGAGAGACACATTGAGAGAGGGAACACAAGCAGGGGGAGTGGGAGAGGAAGAACAGGCTTCCTGCCAAGCAAGGAGCCCAAGGCCGGTCTCGATCCCAGGTGGAAACTACCGATAATTTGTCCAGAGAGCAGATTTGAAGAAGTTTTCCTGGCAATTAACTTTTAAAATCTGTGTCAAAAGAAATGTTAAGATCACAGTGAATCTCGCCTTCTGTCTACGCAAAGAAAAATGACTTTTATAGAATCTAGTTTAAGAACATCCTCCAGGTTACTGAATCACACTGGCATTCATTTGACAATAAAAATAATTATAAAGTGGTATTTTCCCCCAAAGAATTACATTTTCCTCTTGACGGCGCCTGACCTTAGTGCATTATACTTGATAAAGCTGTAATCAGTAGATGGAAAATTGCGTTGGGCAACAATCATTGGCTCTAACTTATGAAGAGGCTCCTATGCAAACCAACATTCATGTTATAGACAGAAACACATGACATCACTTTTGAGTGCATTTTCCTGCATGCATAACAGTGGATGGTTTCAAAAGGCCGCTGCTAGGACCAGATCTCTTCCCTAAAACATGACATAAGTTGGTGGAAGACAGCAGGTCTTCAGCATACAGCCATTCAAAATCAAGGCACTTGAATTTGCCACATACTCTTTTCACTTGGAAGATTCAGTATTGGAAATAGCCAGTAGGTCATGGCAATCTGTTAGGAACTTAGTTTTAGTGAAATCCTCCCACTTCCTCACCACTGAAGAGTGGTGATTATTATATATACACCATCTCCCATCAACCAAACACGGTGAAAACGCTGTGAATAATCATGTTGTGTTTAAATGGGAGAACTGTCAGCCTCCACTGAGAGGGCAATGTCACTAACCGATATGGAGCTTCCAACAGAGTGGGGCCTGAGAAGGCTTCCTGTGAGTGACCACACCTCAGCGGAGTCGGTATTCATGTTTGTGGGATCGGAGTTTGGGCTATTTGTGAATTCATGCGTTTGTCTGATGAGTATTTACCAAGTGGGTACTATGTGCCAGGCACTGTGCTAGTACAGGGGAGTCACATGATAAATCAGATAGAGATTTCCTGACCCCCAGGGAGCTGAGAATTTGGTTGCAAAGACCACACATGAACACATACATCAATAATCACAGATGGTAATAAATCTCAAGAAAAAGGGGAATAGAAGAAACCAAAGTGAAGTGATGGGGGGCAGTGGTCCTCACTTTAGATAAGATGGCCAAGCAGGGAAGAACTTTCGGAAGACATGACATTTGTGCTGAGACCTGAAGGATGAGAAGTCGTGTGAAAAAACAGAGGGAAAAGCATTTCATGCAGAGGGAACAGCAAATGCAAAGGCCTTATTGGGGAATCGATCTTGATGAAACAGAAAAGATGGGAGTGAGGGAGGTGGGCAGTGATACAAGATAAAGGGCAGAGGCAGGACGAAACATGTATGGTGTGGGAAGGTCACCGGGGCTACTCTGTCAGGACAAGGGGAGGGGCAGGCAGCAGTGGACAGAGGGGGCCCAGTGAGGAAGGTGTTCGTTTTCTGAGAGCCAGGATTACGGTGGTTTGGACTTGGCTGGAGAGAAGCAGATAAATCAGGGCTATAGCTTGGAAGATCAAAAATGATCCAAAGGCCAATTACGTGCCGTAATTCCTCCTTTGGCTGAAGCACACACCTCGAAGACTATAGTAAATTTAGTGAGGAATCCAGCACGCCAACTCCCAGCCCTTCCATCACCTTGAGGCTTCTCGTTTCCTGTTCATCTGCCTGTGGAAGCTCTCTAGAAAGAACAGCGACTTGTCTCTTGGTGCAGTATGGCTTTCTGTTACATTTCACTGCACTTTATGGGGAAGATTTTATGCACGGCTCAATAATTGTAGTCATGAATCAGGAATTCCCAAAAGTCTTGGACAGAACCCCAGCAAGGGCCTATTTCTGATTCCCAAACAGCTGTCACTCCTGGTCAACATGCATCTCTAATAAAATCAAGCAGTTCATGAAGTTAACTGGATGGACTCTTTTTTTTCCTAAGAGTTCTTGGCATCTTGGGAATAAGCCCAGAAGATTATAAAACTAGGCAAAGAGAGACAGAAGAGTTTGAGATTGAGCATACCAGAATTAATTGCCTTCCCTTTAATGTGCTGCATGAGGGATATTATAAATATTGCTGTAGTCACAGTTTGGCCTCCAACGTGTAGAAAGCTTGTCTCTCCCAGGCTCCCTGCCCAGAACTTCATACCTTCCATCAGTGATTCACTTCTGCCACTTTTTTTATTGCCCACTCTGCTGGCATTGCCAACTGAAGTCTGAGTAGATCATTTTTTCCCATCTTCATTTACTTAAATGACATAAAAATTAACCTTCTGTTAAAGGAAGACCTCTTGCCCATGAAATGAGGGCATACATTGATTTTTTTTTCCCCTTGTGCAAAACAGACGTGAAAGCCCTAACGCGTGCATTTTGCAGCATGCATACTCCTCACCCCAGTACGTTGTGCCATGGTGCCCTGCCTCTTTAGTTAAGATGGCTACGAGGCACATTTCAGAATCTTAAGAGGGACCCGTAGCTGTTGCAAGGCTACACCGAGGGAGAAAAAGTGCTGGGATATCAGAGCTCATGGTCCATGACCTGCAGCCAAATGTCTTGCATCTGTGAAGTGCTGGAAGAATTAAGCTCTATTGTTCTGCTCCTTGATGTCTCCATTTGCAGAGGGCTTTCATTTGGTTTTGTTCCTCTACTGTACACACTTTACATCTGAGTTTGAGCAGGAGCAAGTGCTAGGGAGAGTCGGATTAGAATACCACACATTAGCCGATGAGAACCGAAGACGCCCCCACACACAGTTTTGTAAGGCTCACTATGTTTATTAAAGGAGATTGGTTCCCTCAAATGGAAATCGAATCCAAATTTACAACCGGCCCTAACGTGACTTCTAATCCAAACCCACATTTTGCATGGCCATTTGCTTCTCCTTTCTTGCTTATTTTTTATTTCCCCTTCTTTTAAGAAACATGGCAAGAATCCAGCCAGATAGAAATGCAGGAAGAATGCTCGTGTTTAAAGCTAAAGGGAGCTGTGGTGGCTGGGGTTCTGGGCAATGATGGGGCGCAAGCATGAGAGACCATTCCATCTTCTGGCCAGTGGTGGGGCTGCAGGCGGCCGCCACGTAGCCCTTTGGAGAAAATGCTGACAGTGTCCTTTCTGTTATTTGCAGCACCCCATGGGCCTTCTTTTACGATTGGAAAAGCTATATGGCTACTCTGGGGCCTGGTGTTCAACAACTCTGTGCCCGTGCAGAACCCCAAAGGGACCACCAGCAAGATCATGGTGTCTGTGTGGGCCTTCTTCGCTGTCATATTCCTGGCCAGCTACACGGCCAACCTGGCTGCTTTCATGATCCAGGAGGAATTTGTGGACCAAGTGACCGGCCTCAGTGACAAAAAGGTAAGGTCATCCTGCTTTCCTCACCGCCTGAGAGGTGGATCTTAAATGATCTCTCCTCAGAAGGGCGCAATTCAGGCTCCTATTATCCAAACCCATTGACTGACTCTAGAGCACAAAGCCAGAGGGGTTTTGTTTTGTTTTTTCTCTCTGAACTTAAATTGGCATATTTCTAAGAATTTTAGAAACAGAACCTTAAGCTCAGCCCTCAGGGTCTAAAAGATTCCAGATCTCATTTGGAAGCATTGCTTCCCCAAATGGTCACTTTTCATATTTGTAGAATCACGACAGGGACGCTTCCCAAGGCTCTGTGACTCATGGGAGGGTCCAGGCTCGAGCTCTCCCTTCAAGGGAGCATGTGATGGTGAAGAAGATCTATGAGCCTCGATAAGGGAAACTTGGGAGGAAGTGGGGTGCTCTCAGCTGTAGCCACCTCCCCGTTCTCTGGCCTTGGCCGAGCCTCTCACAGATGCCATGCCTTGGATTTCTCATCCATGACATGAAAAAAGTCATCTCTAAGGCCTACCCAGAGACAAGACAGCTCCTTTTTCCCGGGTAGTCAGGCAGCCCCACCATCTGCATTCCCGATTCACCTGAAGTTTCCTCAAGGGACACCAAAGAAACAGAGAGACTTTTCATTCACATTGGCTCCTTTTACTCAGGCACATCCCCAGCCCTCCCTCGTGGGGCTGCGCCTCCCATATCAGAAAGGTGGCAGGAGTCGCACCTGCTGTCTCCATTCTCTGTTGGAATGTCACGAGGGGTGGGGGGGCGGGCTGTGAGTGGATATTCAGAAAGGCACACGGAGGAAGAAAAGAGGTAAACTGGGTGCATCCTTCCATTGAAATCTTAGCTTCAGCAAACAAACCCTGACTTGCTAAGCTCAGCAGTGTGGGGATTGCTGCGCAGCCAAGATTGTCTGTCTCGTGTATGCGGATAATCGTCTCTCTTTATAAAATCGCACCAGCAGGTCTTGCTGACATAAGTCTACGTATATTCTTTTGGCATTTATCAACAAACTGTGCTGAATAGAAAATCAACCGTGAAAGGCCCTAACTGCTTATCTGTGCCATATGCTGTGCTTGAAAGAGGTACAGAGAAGGCCTGTCATCAGGGAGCTGATGATGGGCGGGGGCTGGGTTGGCCTCTCTCTGATGGCTTCCCACTGTGACTTAAGTAAATGCCAGTCTGCTTCCCATGGCGACAGAGCCCTGGATCATCTGGCCCACCCCCATGTGTTCCCTCCCTCTTGCTCACGAGGCACCCCCCTCCACGTTCCTTCAGTATCCCAAGCGTCTTTCCACCACAGTGCTCTTGCACTGGTTACATGCTCTGCCTCAAATGTTCTTCCCCATTATCCATGGCTGGCTCCTCCTTGACTTTCAGGCCTTAGGGAAAATACCACCTCCTGGGAGAGGCCTTCCAGCCACCATGATGAACTTCGCAGCCTGAGTTTATACTCCCGTGAAACTTAAATTCTAGTAGAAAGAAACAGGCAACACGTGAGTAAACGTAAATGGGGAAGAACATTCCAGGCAGGAGCTGGTGTTATAAAGGAGGTAAGACTGATGAGATTAAAGGTGATGCTTAGGATAGAGTTAGCTGGCACTTCGGAGGTGCTCAGGACATACTTGTGTGTTGAGTGAGAAATGTGTGGTGTGGAGGACACCGTGGGCGCCCCGTCTGGCTCTCCCTGGCATCCCCTTTCCGGCTATGTGCCCATCCCACGTTTGCTGTCAGAGGCTCCTACCAGGGATCTTCACAGGGTCATTACCTTGGGGTACTGGAACAGTAAAGGCCTGGAGATTTGAGTGCCCCCAGTCCCTTTAGTTACCTGTAACCAAGAACAAACCAGTGTGAGAGCCCAAAACCCCAGCCGCCCCATTGCGTCCAGGCGGGGCCAACCCAGGGTACGCTTTACTCTCCGGAGCTCCCCATGGGATCAGGTGGAAGGTGAGACTCTGCTCAGCAGCTGAGACTTTGTGGTGCTTTTATAGTCACAGAATCTGGCCCCGCCTCCCCATTTATCCCCATACATTTGGGAGAAGAGGTTGGACCAAGCATGAGAGGAGACAGCCATCGTGAACGTGCCTTGTAGCCTCCAGAGACCCTTCCAGCCACAAAGCGCCAGTACCCAACTCCATCACACCGTGGGAGCCAAAATACAGAAACAGCTGGAGGTCCCACAGAAGCACTGGGGGCCCCGTCCTCGGCGAAGGGTTTTTCAAGAAAGTAGTGGGCAGCTCATTTTGCTTTTTGTTGCTATTTTCAAAGGCAAGGGGAGAAAGCAATCACTTGCCACATAGTTTTGGATCTAAATAACATGACCACTTGCGAGAAAACTAATTAGAACCACTAATAATTTGACCTTCTCTGACTCAGAGACACCTAGTAACAGATACAACATCCTCATGGGACACAGCTCGGCTTCCAAGCTCAGAGCATTAGTGGCAAGCAGATAGCTCTTTTAATTAAATGTTTGATACAATTAGGTAAACAGCAAAATTCTTGGAGTAAATAAGCTAAATGCTCCCAGAAGATTAATAGCAGATACACCAAGAAAGTCTGCAAAAATAAAAATCTATATTGAATCAATTTATTTTAATACTGTACATGGTGGGCTTTTTTTCCCCCCCTCTTCCTTTTTTTTTTTTTTAAATCACAATTACCTATGTAACAACTCAGGGTCACGATGCTTTTAAAGCATTTTGCAGTCTTAGTGCTTGCTGGGAAAAGCACCTTTGAAGCCCACAGTGTGCTCAGATGAGCTCAGCCTTCAATTATAAATAGGCAGATTCACGGGTAGATGTTCCCCTAGGAATGACTAAAGGAAAGTTGAAACGTTGGTGGGAAACCTTTCCAACATGTTGGCAATCACGAGGGTAACGGAGCTCCGTAGGTTAATGTAGTGGGAAGAACAATGTCGTCTTCGGGGTCAGATGAACCTGCGTTCAGGTCTTGACCTTGCCATAAAATGGTCATGCGGCCTTCGATATGTCAGTATCCCCAAAGCTTAATTTCCTAATAAGAGTGGGGGCGGGTATTAATACCTTTCTGGCAAGGTTGATATGAGGCTTAGAAATAATCCTCACACGGTGCCTGGCACATGGTAGATAATCCTATTATAAGAGCTGCTCCCTCCTTCCACCCTCCTCCCTCCCCGCCTCCACTGCCCCTTCCCCTCCTCTTCCTCACCCTCCTGCTCCTTCATGATCAGCATCACTGCCTGATGAGCCCATTCCTCACTTCCAGGGTCTCAAGTGCCACTGCACTGGTCGGCTTTTGTGATAATGGGGGGAATTCGGGAACTTTCCTTGGTAGAGGAGCCCAGGAACATGTCCCCGTGAAGTTGTGCTGTCTCTGAGCCCTGCGCCCATACTGCTGGGTGGTCAGTGGCTGAACAGAGCCCTCTGAGCCTCCCCTCCCTCCTAAGGGCCATGGTTGTTTGATGCTGACCCCCCAGAAGCTTGCAGCCCATCAGCAGTGGGAGAAGACCGTACCTGAGGTATGGGGTTCCCAGGTGCCAATGTCCCTTATTTATAGCCACAGAAGACAGATATTTTTAATAAGTGTATCGTTGGGGTGTGTAAGAGGAATGAAGAAATGTCCTGGTCAGTTGCCATGTTTTCCCTAAACATTTTATGTCCCGTATTTTGCATCTCTCCTTCCTCCATCCAGAAGGGCTTGCCTTGAGAGAGAGAAGCCCCAGGGAGTTCTCCTGCCCCCAGTCATCATGATTGCATTGCTCTGTGATCTTGCTGACCGTGGACCCCTCTGCATCACCCCTTCCTTTGCTCGAGCCCACATTTGTTTCTTTCTGTGTCCGCACAGAACCCTCTGGGAGAAAGTTGCACTAGAAATCATTCTGGTAAACTACATGGAATATGTCCTCAGTGGGAGGCCCTGGGATTTAAGAGATGAGCCGTGCTTGCCCCTAACTATTTTTCACGCTGTAGGTCCTGGCTTTTTAGTGAGTCATGAAAATAATTTAAGGGTCGTGACCATTAACAAAATAGAACAAAGCAGAGGACGTCAGAGTATATCACATGGAGGAAGAGTGCTCTCAAGTGGAATGCGTGTGCGTGTGGACGTGAAGAAGTGTCCTGGTCCATGGACCATGTACTGAGAGTCCTGCTTTAAAAAGTGTGATCACCTTAACTCTAACGGGAAAGGTTCTTGGATCTCAGTGCTGGGCTGAATTTTGCGGGGGGGAGGGTACAGTCGAGGCCAGAGAAGTGTGGAAATTCATCCCTGAGGCTGATTAGGCAGAGAGGTAGGGATGAAAGGAAATCTAAAGAGCTCCGTGGCTCCTCTGTAGCAGATGGAGAGTGAAGCAGAAGGCATTTGGTCCAGTGGGCCATGTCACACGCCTCTGGAGAGTAGAGCAGCTTACTAACGCCTGGATTTATGAACAGCACCGATACCTCTGTCCCCAGAGTCGGGGCTGGTGCCGCCTCCTGTCTTGGTGATGAGTTGGGGCACTGCCTGCCACAGTAAGTGCAAAGAGCATTTTGCTGTTCGTGTGCACGCACGTGTGCGCGCGCACACATACACACGCAGCCTCCCAACGCAAGGCACCAGCAGGAGGATCTCATTTGGACCATGTATGGCCACTTCCCCCAAACTACTTATTACACAGCGGCATGCCTGATGTAGGGGACACAGTTTTCAACTGGAAATTTTAATTAACGGTGAAACGAAGTGTGAGTCTGGAAGAAAGAATGATGTTTTCAGTCCACCTGACTCGGGTAAACTCGGACGCCTTCTCCAGCAGTTCTGAGCTGCATGGAAGACAGGCTGGGCTGGAAGTGTGAGACATCTCTGGATCCTGGCCCTGGTCCCACCGTGGTCCTTCCCTTCTGTGGGTCTCAAGGTCCTCCCTCTAAAAGAGGAGGCGTTACTATTGACGGTCTGTGAGGAATGACAGGGCTCATGAGGACAGGCATATGTAGGGTTGAATTCTGGGCTGCTACTTACAAGCAGTGGGATCCTAAACAGGCCATGTAACCTCACTGAGCCTCGGTTTCTTCATCTGTAAAATGGAGCCTCTAAGATTAGCTACCTGGCAGATTCCTCATGAGGATGAAATTTGTAACATTTGTAAAGTCCTTGGCACAGTGCTGGCCCCAAGCAAGTCCTCAAAAAGTGCTGGTCATTATAGTTCCAGAATTTCGTATCTCGTGGAAAAATGAAGCCCAGGGTACTTTTTTGCCCATGCTAATAGTAAAAATAAAAAGTAATAGTAATTAGTTCTGAGTCCTAACTCTGTTCCAGGCACTATTTTAATTACTTGACAAACTTTAACAATTTTAGAACTTCCCATTGACCCTACAAGGGAAGTACTGGTATGTTTTCCACTCTAGAGACAGGAAACAAATAGAGGCAGTGTGAAGTGCCTTATCTAAGGTCCCACAGTTCGTAAATGATAGAACCTGACTTTTTAACCTCTGAACCTGAGCTCACACTTGTACCTATTGCCCTGTGCGGACTCTAGATTTTATTTGTGTGTCTGGAACTCAGACCTAGTACTCTTGACTCCGAATCTGGTTGGGTTGCCCCAAACGCTAAAGTTGGGAACAGACAATATCGGTCAGTCAGGGAAGAGAAGCAGAATATGGACATCGAACCCTTTTGGAGGCCTGAGAGCTGTACAAGACATGGGCATACCCACGAAGCTAATGGTTAGGAAGAACTTCAGCTCAAGATATGTTCATGGAGCCTGCCATTATGCCTGGAATATATTAGGCCCCCAATAAGTATTGGATGCATGCATGCATGAATGAATGGGTGAGTGGAGAATGAGTGAATGGAAACATACAGTCATTGTAGGGAAAGAAAAGTAATTTTTCCTCTACCCTTTTAGGTTCTTGGCTGAGACACCTCTGTAATAAAAGATTGACAGGAGAAAAAATAAACAGAAGCTTAACAGCGTGGATACCTTCTGTAGACATGGGGTATGCCCAGGAAAACCGAGTACCTCCCCAAAATGGCCCAAGCCACCAGCTTAAACACCCCCTCCAGCTAACCACAAAAGAGATGTTGGGAGCTGGGGTGGGGAGGCCAGTGATGGGAGGTTGTCAGGAAAAGCATAGTAAACAAGGGCGAGGTTATCATGCAGATTTAAGTTGGTGCCTTCAACACTGATAAGAGTTTCTAGAGTTTGAGTCATCTTCCTTTTCCAGGTGCTGAGAGGAAGACAGCCCTCTATGTAGAGCTTTCCCTTAAATGCCTCTTAGGAAAGGGTTAACTTCTCTTCAGAGCTTCTCCTGCGTCTGCTGTTTCTTAAAAATAACTAGCCTACGAGGATCCTTATGCCAAAGAGGCATATTTCAGGGTGACATGTTCGGTTTCTCTTCATCATTTCCTGGGGGAGGTGACGGCAGTTGTCAATGGGATTCAGAGGAGGGAGCGATTGGTGGGGAAAGCAGAAAATTTCACCAGAAGATAGATAAATGAGCTGAGTAAAGCAGTACCTTAATTCCAGCTCAGTTAGCGTCTCCCAAGCATGGCCTGCGTGCCCACCGTGAGGCTAATCTCTATAACAGCACTGAAAAAGTCAATCCAACAAGTATCTCTCGCACACCCAGCCAGCCCCGTTGCTAGGCACTGGGGGACAGTGGGAACGAGATAGACGCTGTTTCTAACCACCTAGAGCTCACAGGCTAGTGGCAGGTGTGGTTAAATAAAAAAGGAAGCCCAGAAATGTATGGTTTTTCAGCTGTCCTGTGCTAAGGCATGCGAATGTTGAACCCCTGACACAAGACAGAATGGTGGCTGACTTCTCCTCCTTCTCTCTCTGTCTCTGCCCTGTCTGTCTGTCCGTCTCTCTCTCTTTCTCTCTCCAGTTTCAGAGACCTCACGACTATTCCCCACCTTTCCGATTTGGCACGGTGCCTAACGGCAGTACTGAGAGAAACATTCGTAATAACTACCCCTACATGCATCAGTACATGACCAAATTCAATCAGAAGGGAGTGGAGGATGCCTTGGTCAGCTTGAAAACAGGGTAAGGATGATGGGTTGCTTTCTTTTTTTTTTTTTTTTTTCCCTCCGCAGGCCTGCCAGCCCATAAACCTCACAGAAAATGACTGTCTTTGTGCCTTGGTGCTTATCTACCCTCAGCTCTGTATTTTCTGGAAAGCAGCTGCGGTTAAGATGAACCCCAGTTGACAGCTGCTTTTGTGAATCTGATGAGCATCACAGGCTTCCTTCTGAGTTGCATTAAGGAAAAGCAAATCCAGGACGCTTTGAAATGCAGAGAACCAGAGGAGTTTCTTAAACTAATAAAGAATGTGGTCCAACTCCGTGGGATCTCTCAGCCAAAGAGAAAGATCTAAAGAGTTTGTTAGCTTATTTAAAGTGCTGAAAATAAGTGCTATAGATTATTCTCTGATTTTAGGTAGGAGTTTTTGGGGTGCAGCTTTGTGTGAAAGCTGACAGTATCACATTGACAAAGGAGAAAGGAAACGGGGAGAGAAAAGCAAGGTGAACTCAGTGTCTCTAAAGCTACAGCTAAGGTTCCTTTTTTTAAGATTTTATTTATTTATTTGAGACAGAGAGAATGAGAAAGACAGAGAGCACATGAGAGGGGGGAGGGTCAGAGGGAGAAGCAGGCTCCCCGCCAAGCAGGGAGCCCGATGCGGGACTTGATCCCGGGACTCCAGGATCACGACCTGAGCCGAAGGCCGTTGCTTAACCAACTGAGCCACCCAGGCACCCACAGCTAAGGTTCCTGTCTACCTGTTGACATTGCACAGCATAGCACTCCCGTGATAAGGAACTGTCTAGAAAAGATGGCACAGAGGCGAGGAGTTTAGGACATGAAGCTGGAGTGTACCTCTTCTCCCCACCCCCCACTGCTATTTTTTCTGACTTGGGGCAGATGCCTCATTGTTCTCAGCCTCATCTGTAAGATGGGACTCATAACAGGGCCTTCACAATGTCAGGGATGTGCAAAATGCATTTTTGGGAGGGTCCCGTTCAAAACGATTCTGTTTCTAAATGAAGTTCTTTCACGAAGGCAGTGTTGCTTATCCAGAAGACAAATTTCCGTGGGCCATGTGGGTCATCAGGGATTCTTGAGCGGTGAGACATGACTGTTGTAAGTTACCCTGGAACTTCATCTGCAGCCTCTTCCTCTCACCTGTTCTGCAGGCCCACTGGGGCTGCTCCCTCGTGTCTGGTGGGGCAGACGGGCCCCCTCTAAACCCTCAAGCCCCATCCCTGTGTGCTTTCCAGGAGCTTTGGTTGGTAGCATTTTGTCTCTTCAGTTTCTGTGGAATCTCTTCATCACCTCAGCAGGGGCTCGAAAAGCCAAGCCCATGACTTATCCCAAACTCACCCACACTCTTCTCATTCTGGCTCGGGGTGATTTTTAAAAACGTTTTATTCGAGCGTAACACGAGGGCAGAAAGGATACACATATGAGGTATAGTGCCTGAGGACTTTGTACAAACTGACCATCCAGGTCCATTCACAAGACGTAGCCAGTCCCCAGAAGGCCCACCACACCCTTTTCCAGTGGCTGGTCTCGCTTCTAAAGCTGTGGATTCTTTTGGTCTGTTGTTCTCACATGTAAATGAAATCGCACTGGACATTTTCTTTTCTGTCTTCTTTCAGCTCTGGGCCTTCATTCTCATTGCTGTGGGGAATTTCAGGATGGGGACATGCCCCAAAGTCATCCATCTCTTCTCGTCTTGGTGAACACTGGGGTAGTGTCCCATTCGGGGCTATGGCGGGGAGGGCTCCTAGGGGTATTCTCAGCCAGGTCTGTCCTTGCACGAGGGAGCACGTTGGTCTCGGTATGTACCTAAAACAGGAGTCGCCAAGCTATAGGATGCATGTATGTTGCATTTTAGTAGAGATCAGAAAATTCTGATGACTTTCCAGCTGAGCCCCAGATAGGGGCTTTGTTTGTTTCTTTCTTCCATGGTCTTTTTATCAACATATACTATCACTTGGGACAGACCGTGAACACAAACATGGATGACAATGGTTAGAAACAGCGGGTGAAGCCTAGCTCACCCCCTCTCCATCCATCTGTCACCCAGTGCACAAAATGTGTTGTTTTCTTTCTTTTCCCATTTTTTAAAAAACAATTCAAACAAAAAGGAGTTGGGAAATGGAAACAGTTCCTGGCCATAAATTGTACAAATTGTTTTCTGGAAGCCATATAAGAATTATGACATCCATCCCAGCAAACTTGGGCAGATGGCGGGCTTGCCCTATACTCAGTCTTCCGTGTGGGGGATGTTTTGTGCTGTTACATTAAGCTCAGAAACTAGAGCTGGAGAGGTAGGAGTCTTTTTTAAAGAAGTAACTCTGCGGGCACCTAGGTGGCTCAGTCGGTTAAGCATCTGCCTTCAGCTCAGGTCATGATCCCAGAGTCCCAGGATTGAGTCTGGCATCGGGTGCTCTGCTCAGCAGAGAGCCTGCTTCTCCTTCTCCCTCTGATCCTCTCCCTGCTTGTGTTCTCTCTCTCTCTCTTTTCTTTTTCCTGTTATACTTTTTTTAAATTTTATTTTGTTATGTTAGTCATCATACATTACATCATTAGTTTTTGATGTAGTGTTCCATGATTCATTGTTTGCGTATAACACCCAGTGCTCCATTCAATACATGCCCTCCTTAATACCCATCACTGGGCTAACCCATCCCCCCACCCCCCTCCCCTCTAGAACCCTCAGTTTGTTTCTCAGAGTCCGTAGTCTCTCATGGTTCATCTCCTCCTCCAATTTCCGCTCTTCATTTTTCCCTTCCTACTATCTTCTTTTTTTTTTTTTAAACATATAATGTATTATTTGTTTCAGAGGTACAGGTCTGTAATCTCTCTCTCTCTCTCTCTCAAATAAATAAATAAAATCTTTAAAAAAAAAAAAAAAGGAAGAAAGAAAGAAAGAACTCCCCACTCCCGTAAGAGTGAGGGCTTGGCTGTGCTCATTACAGGAGGTTCAGTTTCAGTGGAATTGAGGTTGGGAAAAACCACTTACTGGTTTAACAAGCTGCTTGGTTAATTATTTAAGTTAATTAAATTAAATTTTGAATAGAGAGCACATTTACATAATTCAAAATCAAAACGTATTGTGTGAAAAGATAAACAGTGAAGAACCTTGCTCCCACACTGTTTCTCTTCTGCCTGGTACCCCCCACAGGGGGCACATTTCCTGAGTGCCCTCTGTCCCTCCAGATCAACCAGTGTGCATAACTAAAAGCCTTCTGCAGTTCCTTTTTTGAAAACATTCATTATTTTTTTTTTATATTGGTCTGTTGGTCTTTTTCTTACTAATTTATATATTGGAGAAATAAGCCCTTTGTTTGTGGTATGGTTACAAATGGTGTTCCCAGCTTTCTTATCTTTTGAGCATCCAGATGGTATTATTTTTCCATGCCAATTTTTTTTTTTTACAGTCAAACTTATCAATCTTTTTTTAAGGCTTCTTGATTCTGAGTCGTAATTCAAAAGTCCTTCTTCACTCCAAAGGCAGAAAGTTACTTTCTCATGTTTTCTTCTATTCTGGTGTCAGTTTTCACATTTGGACTTCCTCTTGGGGGATAGTGTGAGCCATGACTCCAACCCCCGAGTGATTATGGGAAGCAAAATGCCACCACAGAACCACCCCGAGATCTGACCAACTCCATGTGGGTCATGTCTTCTCTTCCTCCTCCTCCAAGACTTCTGTCCTTCAAGTGTCTACGTCACCTTGCTTCTGATCTTTTCCTTCCCTCTCACGCCTCGCTTGCTTTTTACGTTTTTCATCATGAAATAGGTTATTTTAAAATATGATGCATAGCATGAAATAATTTCACAAGAGTGAATATCATGGGGATATATTGTTGAAGGAGTAATAATAACAAAATGAACTCCTCATGTACCCACCACCCAGCTTTAAAAATATAGTCATTCCCCTCCTTCATCATAGCATCTCTAGAAGTTTCCATCCCTCTGGAAGGTAGAGAGAAGAGCCCTATCCTATGCACCCCTGAACTGTTAAACTGGAGGACATTCCCTTTATGGGGCCCCCAGGACCCTAAAATCCAGTAATCCCTGGCTTAGAAAACCCAGAGCATCTAGCTCAGCTGCTCGGTCCTGCCTGGGTGCACATGGGTCTGTGGCATCTGCTGCTCAGTGAAGACGTGGGCATGTACACCAGGGTCAGTGGATGCGGAGGCTCCTTTATGGAGCCTGAAAGGGCCTAGAACACAAGTGAGGCCTTGGATTATGGTTAAGAGTCCCAGCTTGGTCTCCATCCAGGTTCTGTCATTAGCAAGCTGTGGCCTTGGGTCAGTCATGTCATGTCTCTGAGTCTCAGTTTCCCATCTAAAAAGCGAAAACACTGAATTCTTTGGTCTCTGAAATGGTTCTGATATTCTCTTATTTGTGTCAAACACTTCATTTAGAACTTTCCAAAAATACAGAATCCAGACAAGCCATGTATATAAACACTGTCAGTTAGCAGAAAGGATGTAGAATAACTCTTCAAAGCTGGGGGGTCTCCAGGCCTCGCCCATGAGCCAACCCCACCTGAATCACATGGTTACACATTAGATGCAAGTTCTGGGTCCAACACAGGATCTTCTCTCCAGTGCTAGAGCCTGTGAGTCTGCATTTCAACAAGCATCCTCCTGCTTCAGGGATTTCGATCCATGCCGAACTTTGAGAACTACTGTTCTAAAGGAGTTCATTCCCTCAACATGTTTTATTAAGACAGCATATAAAAAGTAGACCAATCAATATAACCATGTAGCTTATCCCCGGGATCCATAATTGCTTTAAGAGCATAAGTAGAGAGAAACTTGAAACTAAGTACAGTTTCATTGTTTATTGAAACTGAAGATAAATAGAGAGAAACCATCCCAGAAATGATAGGGCAAATCAATGAGAAAACAAGATTTGACTTGTGAACATCGACAGAGATAGGATTTTTCAGGAATAGGTCTGTTGGGACATGCGGGGCTCTCCTGAACCAAGGACAGACGAGTGGTTCGTGACCACAGCTTTCTAGACCA